CAGCATTCTCCTGGGACACTTATAAACCTCCATTATATCTCTAAACTGTCAGATTTCATTGAGTGGCACATACTGTACTGTAGGTTCACCAATCAGAACAGGAAAATGCACAGCAAACGGCTGGCATTGTTACATTGATACAATTTTGTATGATGACCCTTTGTCTCTGCCTTCGGTCTGTGTTCTAATTTGAATTTGTTTCTTCAGGTCTTTCAACAAATTCAATCCTTCCTTGGCAGCTTCCCTGTAAGGATGCTGGGTTTTTTAAAAATATTGCAAGCTTTTCTTTTGATCTTGCTGCTAAAAGTTGACAAAAATGAATGGTGTGACAGTACCTTTTCTTATTCATGTGGCAGTGTTTTCTCATTAATATATTGTTTTATTTTTTACAAAATAGTTTAATTTAGATGATACTGGAGATCCTTTGCACTTGAAATACATTTAGAAATGATCAAAATAGGTTGTATTATTCTGTTATTACTGTATATTATGTTATAACAGAAAGTGTAAGTTACTGGATAAAATTAAGTGCAGAAAATCTAGCCCCGTACAGATAGATTCAATGCCTGTATGAACTCTGCTTCTGTGTAGCTAATCTGAGCTAATGTATCATGGATTAAGATTACATACCAAGCAGCCACTTTTTGCTCTGATCCAAGAAAATGGTGACCAGAAAAATGCAGTCTTCATGAAGGGTTTACTGTAATGACTTATTACGTAATTATGTAATTTATTATTAACTTATTATCATCTCACCTTGGGTTTGTGATTTAATTTGGATTTATATGTTCAGGTATTACGACAAATTCAAGCTGTTCTTGAAAACTATGGGGTAAGGATGTTGAGTTTTTGATATTTTACAGTGTTTGCAATGGGTGTTGCAAAGATTTAATTCACTGTTTTTGTTATTAACTCTTATCATCTTATCCTTTGGTTTGTGTTCTAATTTGGATTTATATCTTCAGGTATTTCAACGAATCCAAGGCTTCCTTGACAACTATACAGTAAGGATGTTGAGTTTTTGATATTTCGTATTTGATTTATTTCTTCAGAATTTTCAACCAAATTCACAGTAAGGACGTTAAATTTGGGATATGTTGCAGAGTTTTTGCTTTTGTGTGTAAAAATGACACATTATCATGTCTGTGGCACTTGGATATAGAAAATTAAAGATTATGCTATCAGATTGAGATTTGAAAAACACAGCTTTTAAAGCAGAGGTAGTCTTGTTTCCTTATTTTATAATGTTATCATTTATAGTTGGTTGTGTTGTCTTTTGAGTTTGCTGCTATAAGTTGACAAAAACAACTGGTAGGATAGTACCTTGTCTCATTAATATGTTTAGTGGGAAGTTTAATTTAAATAGGTTCACTTAAATGGGGTAGGAGATCCCCTGCATGAGCAATACTTTATAAAATGATTACAAAATATGTTGTTTATGATCATGAAAAGTGTAATGTGAAGTATAGGTTACTACAGAAAATTATAATTATTATCTCATCCTTTGGGTCAGTGTTCTAATTTGGATTTATTTCTCCAGGTATTTCAACTAATTCAATAC